GCAGGGTCGGATCGTGTCAAGCTCGCCCGGCCGGCCGCGTGCAGACCTCGGCCTGTCTGCTGTCTGGAGTGATCTGTCGGCGGTCAGCACGACCGATCAGGATGGAGTTTTCTGATGGTTGGAGGGTCTATCTGTATGTACTCCTCCAAATCTGCCCTCTGATTAACCTAGCTTATCCTAATAGACACTAATAGAGCCGGGGCCCCGTTTGCGTTTCCGCACTGCTGCGCGGCGCACGGTGCCTCCGGGGGCCCCCGCGCCCCCCCAGAGGACCCACGCGCCAGAGCGCGTGCGTGGTGCTTGAGCAGCCGGGCGGTCGCCGCAGGCCAGCCACCTCGAACGGGAGCTCGTCGAGCCACTCGCCGAAGGCGCCCTCGTCTTGCGCCGCAGCGAGGAACTGTTCGCCTACCTGTAAGCCGTACGCGCGGCAGGCCCGGTAGAGCGCCTCGTTCTTAAAACTTAATCTCGTGCGGGTCTCGGAGTCGTATCCGGAGACGGAGGAGCCGGCAGATGAGCCCACTTTTGTGACACTTCGAGGATTTTGGACTGAAAGAAAGAAAGAAAGAAAACAATATACCAACGAGCAAGAAAACATTTTGGACTTGCCGCTCATAATTCTTTTCTTCAAACATGGCGGCTGTGCGAGTGCCGAGTGTTGCTGTGACTTGCCACATTGATGAGTCAAGCACAGAATTGCTGTTCCATTTTCCTGCTGCTGATCTTCGGCCTCGCGTTGCTGATGCGCCAGGACGAAGGGCCGACCGTCGTGCGTATCGCGCCGGCGCACGCGGCGCATTCCGCTCATGCCCGTGGCGGTGGTGGCGGAGAGGCGGCCGCAGCCGTGGAGGTCGCTGCTGCCGAGGTGGGCCAGCATGATGCTGCCGAGGTGGGCCAGTATGATGCGCGGCTGGTCGCCTTTGCGGCCCGTACGCGCCTGCTCCTCTCGCCGCCAGCCACGCGCCGCGCCTCCCGCCGGCGTGAGCGCAGTCGTGCCTCGCTGCTGGCGCTGTCGTTTGCCCGCTGCGCCTCCAACTGCTCTGGCCGAGGCTCCTGCGTCCGAGTGGCGGACTCGACGGGCGGCGCCGCGTACTGCCTCTGTGCTCCGGGCTGGGCTGGCGACGCGTGTGATGTTCGCGACCCGTCGCCTTGCAACGCTCCCGACGGAGGCCGCGTGCTCTCTCGCTGCGCCGGCGACTGCGACGAGGACGTCAACCGCTGCGTCTGCGGCGAGGGGTCGGCCTTCCCGCGGAGGCCGATGCGAGGCTGCCAGTACGAGGGCGTCGAGAAGGAGCGGGCGTGGCTGACGCCCGCTTGGGGCTCCTTCGTGCGCGGGCCAAAGGCGGCCTTTTGGAGCGGCGGAGGGGGAGGGCAGCCCGGCTGGTGCGACGCCGAGCCGGGCAGAGGGCCTCGGCCTCCGCGCCACTGCGCCTGCTACGACGGCGCGAACGGCGGCAGCCTCTGCACGCCGACACGCCCCTTCTGCGTGAACCAGTGCGGAGGCGAGTGGCCGGGGCGAGCGCTGCGACGGGCACCGGTATCTTCCCTGACCTTTCTCGGACCCTTCCTGCAGGCGCCGGCCGAGGGGAGTGCCGCGACGGGTACTGCGTCTGTGCGAGAGATCTGGCGGGTGCGGACTGCTCCGTCCCGTCGGGTGGCGGCGAGGGCGGCGCCGCGGCTGCTGGCGTTGCCGCGGCTGCTGCTGCCGTGGCTGAAGCTGGCAGCACTGCCGCCGACTCTGCTCCCGGAGGCGCTGCAGCCGGCGGGAGGAGCTCTCCTCGCGTGTACGTGTACGAGGTGCCGCCTCGGTACAACTCGCTCCTCCTCGCCCGCCGGCTGGTGCACGATGCATGTGCCTTGCGCACGTACGAAGGAAAGGGTGCGCAGCAGGACGCGCCGGCGTGGACCTCAAACCTGTACGGAGCAGAGGTGGCGCTTCACGAGGCGCTCCTCGCCTCGCCGCACCGCACGCACGCGCCCGAAGAGGCAGACTACTTCTTCGTGCCCGTCTACGTCGGCTGCTTCGTCTCAGAGTTCAACCGGCCCTACCCGACTCATTGGCTGTGCGACGGCTGCCACCAGCTCAGCGGGGGGGCGAGGCCGTCCGAGGAGGAGTGCCATTTAAGAGAGCCAGTCACGCATAGGCTGCCACCGCAAGGGGGGCAAGGCCGACCTCGCCTCGCTGCGCGCCTTGGCGTGGCAGCGCGATTTGCGCACTTGTCGCCTTCCGAGTGGCATGACGGTACCGAGAAGTGCGCGACTTGCTGCAGGCAGCGCGACCTGCTGCTCTGGGTGCGGGGAGCGATGCCGTACTGGAACCGGAGCAGCGGCGCGGACCACTTGTGGCCTGCGATGCACGACGAGGGCGCGTGCTACTCGCCTGCGGAGCTGCGGCGCGCCACGCTCCTCGCCCATTGGTTATTAATTATTAGTAATCAATTATGAATTATTGATTAATTACTCGCTTGCGGAGCTGCGGCGCGCCACGCTCCTCGCCCATTGGTTATTAATTATTAGTAATCAATTATGAATTATTGATTAATTACTCGCTTGCGGAGCTGCGGCGCGCCACGCTCCTCGCCCATTGGTTATTAATTATTAGTAATCAATTCTGGGTTATTGATTAATTACTCGTTTGCGGAGCTGCGGCGCGCCACGCTCCTCGCCCATTGGTTATTAATTATTAGTAATCAATTATGAACTATTGATTGATTACTCGCCTGCGGAGCTGCGGCGCGCCACGCTCCTCGAGCCGTTCGG